TACAAAAGTGTTTCTTAAACACTTATAGTCACGTAAGGACCAGTGGGCAAGTTGGTAAAATATTATCTAAATCTTTCCAGATGACTATATGCATATCTAAAATTACCACTGAAGAGAAGAGTGCATTTCTTTTCAGGAAACTCTTCATACTTAAAGTATAAAGGTATTTTACAAGTTGGCTAAAATAAATGTATTGTGTATTTACACACAAACATCTGAATCATGAAAAGTTTATGCTGTGTTTTCCTGATAATAAAAACTTCTTGACAGGTGACCAGGGCAAACGTTAGTAATTCTAAAATCAATATATTTCCCATTTGGTCACATGAGATGATGTCTATGTCAGTCCTTTTTAAAAATTTTAAATCGTATTCTTCCTTCTTTCCTATTTGTCTGTCTCTTTCTGCTAGTTTCAGGTTCAATTTCTGATCTCTTGATGCTCTTGCTCCCTTATTTTCAACTATTAAGAACCACTGAACTGAAACTTATGTGCTAAAATTCCAACATGGTTATAGGATAAAACTGTATAAAGGAAACAAAAATAATACAATCTATTCTGCATTATGTGAACCTGCAGTCAGTCCCAAGGTGAGACTTCCATCATAATTTACTCAGGAAACAAAACAACCTGAAAAGGAGAAAAATCTCAAAAAGGAAAATTTCTGATTAGAAACCAAAATTACCTCTTCATCCAATTCTTTCATTATCTTGTCTAGTTTTATGTTTGAAGTTCTGCAAAAAAAAAAAAAAAAAAAGCAATACAGATTAGAAATGCGTTTATTTTTTATTGACTAGGAGTTAAACATCCACTCCTTACTTTTCCATCTGACCATGGTTTCTTAATCTTTTTCTGTGCCATGGATCCCTTTGGAAGTCAGGTGAATAATATTTTCTATGGCCTTTTCTCAGAATAATACTTTTAAAAACATAAAATAAAATGTGTAGGATTAAAATAAGCCAATTATATCGACATACACTCATAAGCTTTAAAAAAAATATGATTCAGTAATATATCTGCTTCTTTATTAACACATTAAATCACAAGATCTAGTGGCAATAATTTCAAAGAAGTGATGAGCATAAATGATATTTGGAGATAACTGTAACATCCATAATATAAAAAAACTCTGATTTCTATTGGTAATAAAAAATTCACAGGTACTGCTAGTAAGTGGATTGTTGCCTATGTTCATAATTGAAGGAAATGTTAAATTTCAGTTATAAGTTAGAAAAAATATTTTTCTCAAATTCCATTCATGGACCCTTTTGGGAAGGTTTGTGGATCCATGGTTAGGGATTCCTAAACTTCCTCATGTAATACTTGCTATCAAACAAAAATTAGCCATTAAGAAAATGAAGGGAAAGGTGATATAGACCAAATCAGTAAATGTGCCATTTGGCAACTAGAGTAAAAATTTGAGATTACTGAAAGTATTAGCTTCATCACAATTTGTTATTTTTGGCCCAAAACATAATTCTAAGCTTCAGATCTATACCTGGCAATATTTTTACATGGATGTCTCATCAAATACCTCATTCAGAATGTCAAAAACTAAACATTTCCTCTGCTCCACATCCCCAAACCCCCAATCTCAATCTGCTTCTCCTCCAGTGCCCTGAAGTAAATGATACCACCTGGGAATCATCTTTGACTCATCTTCCTCCCTTACTCCTATTTAGTTGAATAAATGCCAAGTGCTATCAATTAACAAGAGGTTTTTTTTAAAAAAAAAGAAAAAATAATATTTTATTATGTTTTTGGTGAAAGTTTACACAACAGATTAGGTTCCCAATCAACAATTTCTACACAAATTGTTTAGTGACATTGGTTACATTCTTCACAAAGCATGAACATTCTCATCATTTCTCTTTTGGTTGTTCTGTTTCCAGTAATCTAGTTTCCCTGCCCCCTTACCTTCTCTGTTTTACAGTAATTGTTGACTGTTTGGTCCCATATAAATGATTTTTTAAAGGAGCATAATAAACCCCAAACCAAACCCATTGCTGTTGAGTTGATTCTGACTCATAGTGACCCTATAGGACAG